TCCCCCCCCCCCCTCGCGCGTTGGGGGAAAACCCCTGGGGGGGAGACCCCCCCCCCCTCCCCCATCGCGCGCATGCGCCGCCATTCTCCCGCCCCCCCCCCTTCATCCTCCTTCCCCTCACGGCGGCCTCCCCCTCAGCGCCGCCGCCATTTCTACCCCGTTCCCCCCCTTCTTCCTCTCACCCCTCGCAGCCGCTTGATCAGGGCGCTCTTCTGGCCGCTCTTGGCGAGGCCTCGCTGCTCCAGGGCCGCTTTGAGGTCGGCGACGCGCAGCAGATGGAGCGGCCGCCCGTCCAGAGTCACCTCCTCCCCGTCCGCCATCTTGGTGTGGCGCCGCTTGCGCTGCGCCTTTCGGACGCTTCCGGCTCTTCGGCAACTTCCGCAAGGGAGCTTCGGGTATTTCCGGCAACATTCGGGTGTTTCCGGTGCTCTTCGGGTGTTTCCGGCGGCGTTCGAGGCGTTCTGGCGCTCTTCGGGTGTTTCCGGAGTGAGGGGGGGGGGCGGCAAAGGCGGGAATTTCTGTGGAGAGCTCGGAGGTTTCCGGTAAAACTCCGTTAAAATGAGGGGAAAAAGTGAAAATTTGGGGGATTTCGGGTTAAAAAATCGCGGTTTCTGAGGTAAAAGTGGGAGGGTTTGTGGGGGAAAGAGAAAAGGTGAGGTTTTTTTGGGGAAAAATCGCGGTTTTGGGGGGAAAATCGAGGGTTTTGGGGGAAAAATGGGTGGTTTTCGGTGGGAAAATCGGGATTTTCTGTGGGGATAAAATCGAGGTTTTGAGTTAAAAGTCGGGGGTTTTCCGTGAAAAAAAAAAAAAACATAAATCGCGATTTTCCGGTTAAAAATCGGGGTTTAAAGTGAAAATTTCGCGGTTTTTAGTGAAAAAATCGCGATTTTCAGTGAAAAAAAATTGGTTTTCTGTGGGGAAAATCGGGATTTTCTGTGGGAAAAGTCGCGGTTTTCAGGGAAAACAGCCCAAAAAATCGCGGGTTTGGGTTAAAAATCGGAACTTTTCCGTGAAAAAAAAAATAATTCGCGGTTTTTCGGTTAAAATTGGTGGGTTTTGGTGGAAAATCGCGATTTTGGGTGGAAAAATCGCGATTTTTAATGGAAAAATTTGCGGGTTTAAGTAAAAAAATTCGTGATTTTCGGTGGAAAAAAATCGCGATTTTTAGCGGAAAAATTTGCGATTTTCTGCGGAAAAAATTCGCGATTTTCCGTCAAAACCGCGGAAAATTCGAGGGAAAATCTTCGGGATTTCGGGAAAAACCAAAATAAAAATGTTATGAAATAAAATAAAAAGGAAAAGCCACGCGATGAATTTTATCTCTTCTATTTTTTTATTAATTTTTATTTCTAATTTTTTTTTATTTACAGCTTTTAATTTATTTTTACGCATTTTTTATTTAATTTTTATTTATTATTTTTTAATTAATTCTTTTTTATTTATGTTTTTATTTTATTTCCATTTAACATTTTTTATTTTATTTTTTCAATTCATCTTTTTTTTTTTCATTGGCCAGCGGGATTTGATTGACAGCAAGCCCCGCCCACATCAAGCCACGCCCTTTTTTCCTTAAGGGGCAAAAGGGGCGGAGCCTGCTCTGCCCCTATGACGTCATAAAACAACAAGGCGTCGTTTTTGAAGCCCCGCCCCTTTTGGGGCGGGGTTTTTTTGTTGGGGCGGGG